ACTGTGCCTGGCACCGCAGGAACACGGGGGGTGAGCAGGGCCGCACGCCTCCTCCCCCCACCTCCACGGGTGCCTCTCAGGGCTCCCTGGTCACTGTCACCATCACCCTCACCAGGCTGTGGCCACCAGCCATCCCTGCCAGCTCCCCACTTACCGACGGGCCTGCCCTCGGGTCCCAGAATGGCTGTGTGCGGCCGCACGGGGGGCCCCACAGAGGTCAGCCCCACGCGCTTGCGCTTCGGCTTCTCCTTGATCTGTGCCATGATCACGGCAGCGCCAGGGAAGTCCATGGCCATACGCCGGCGCTTCCCTGCGGGGGAAGAGACAGGTGCCGGGTGGAACAGGACCTCCTGCATCCTTTGCTGTGCCCAGAACATCCCGCTCTGGTGACCCCCTCGTGGTCCCTGTCACGTTGCTCCTCCTTGAGACCCAGGCTTCTCCACTCTCTGCTATAGCCTGCCTGTCCCCCTGAGGTGGACACAAAGGGAGAACATGGCCAAAACCTACCCAAGGTCCACACCAAACTGGCCTCCACAGGCGTGGTCGTCTCATCAATGTCATTCCCGTAGAGGCAGAGCCCTGCCTCCAACCGCAGGCTGTCCCTGGCCGCGAGCCCGGCCAGCCACACTTCAGGGTCACCGAGCAGCCGCTCCGCTAGCTCCACAACCCGCCCTGCAGGTACCGAGATCTGTGCAGGGACATGGGCATGGTCAGCAACTTAAAACATCCACTTCCCCTCCTGTTGCACTATGTGAGCTCTGCTCTATAGCAGGATGGTCCTGATGCAGACCAGCCCCTGACTCTTGGTGATACCTCCACACCATCCTCGCCCGTGTAGCCGCAGCGTGTGACTCGGCAGCCTGGCACGCCAAAGACTGTCATTATTGCGCTGTTCATGAAGGACAATTTGCCTAGGTCATTGGAAAGTCCTGCTTGCAACACCCGTGCCATGGAGGGACCTGGGGAGACACAGGGGCCTTTGGGGAGAAGCAGTATGACGGAAAAGGGAGGGGGCTGGTTCACAGCATGGGGAGCGTCCCGGTTTCCCGGAATGGGCGGGATTCCCCCATGATGCCACTTGGCGCCAGCCCGTTGAGGGAGCCCACTACCTTGCAGAGCCAGCAGAGCGTTGTCCAAGACTTCCAGGTGCACATCGCTGCCAACTGCCTGCAGCTCCTTCACTCTGTCCTGCAATGGTGACATGACAACATCTGCCACCATAGGGACAAGCAGAAGCCACCCTGAGCTCCACAGCCACCCTGAGCTCCGCATAGCTGTGGCCACCAGCCCTGGCTTGTCTAAAGGGAGGGGAGACGTTTTCCTGCAGCCTGCAGGGCGCTTCAGTCCTGCTCATCCACCTTCTGTAGCCCCCCGGGTGAGCCCAGCCCAGGCAGGAGGCAGTGGGACCACGACCCTGTTGCATGTATCAGGACAGCGCCCCTACCTTCATGATGGCCAAGTCCTTGTCAGCACAGCCCGCGTTGGACACCACGTACAGGTGATCTTCTGAAGTGTTTGTCACGATGAGGTCATCCACGATGCCGCCCTTCTCGTTGGTCAGCAGTGTCAGGGTGCCCTGCAGGGGAGAGCACGCTTGCCCTAAGGAGCCACGGGTAGGATGCATGGGCGGCCAGCAGGTAGCCCCAGGGTGGCCAGCAGGGCTGTTTGGCTGCCCACATCCCTTCCTCCTTGCTCAGCGCACCCTCCTTGCCCAGCCGTGTGGTGCCCATCCCTGTGTCCTCGCAGGTCCTCCCAGGGCAGGGTTGGGGAGTTCCGTCCCTTGTAGGGTGCTGCTAGGGCTGCAAATTCGGTGGCACCGGGTGACATTTTGGACATGGGGACTGTAGGGAACCGTGCACGCAGCATGAAGCCGCCAGGCACTGGCAGCGTGCGGAGCTGCGGGCGGCAACGAGGCGCTTGGCACCGCGGTACCTGGTCTGGCTTGAGCTCCGCGATGTCACCGACCACCAGGCTCTCCATGAACTTGACGCGGTCGCGGCCGTACACGCGGCTCTGCCGAGGAGACAACGATGCGAGGGGACAGTGACATGAAGAGACGGCGATATGAGGCGATGGCGACATGAAGCCCCGCGGGGCCGCCCGCGCCCGCCCGCTG